TCTGTGATTGATGAATTAATTTCAAAACTAATGACTCATTTTTAATCTCGCTCATCGGTGATGTTTTTACCAATGACGCTAGTGTTGAAATGCCTCAATTTGTTTCAAATCTATGAACGACAATACAGCCGTAGTGGTTATGAAATTTTTTAAAATGGGCGCTGCCCTTGAACCCAAAAACTAGCGTGCAAAGCAATCTACTAAGCAACTGCACCACTGTCCCCTCCCCAGAGTTGTGAAATGACTTCGAAAAATATGCGAGCGACATACGGAAATTGTAGACTGGTTCCAATTCGCACGAACTTATGCCAAAACTGTGCCAATGGGGGAACAGTTGTATCTTCATTCCTCCAAATACGACGTCATCAATCTGCCAGAGATTAAGTTAATCTAATCCAGAAACCGATCATCCAGATGAATAATATTGAGTACCTTAGCGTGCGTGGTCGTCAACGACAGGCCAACACAGACTGATCATGTGCTTTGCGTCATTAACAAGAATAGGAAAGCTAACTTTTACAATCACTGATTACACTTTCTTGGAGCTTCTTTTGATCCTCGAAGGATTTTACGAGAAGCTCCATAATTCCAATTCTCGCCTACGCTTTTTCAGCCCATTCTGGAGTTTGACATGGAGGGATTTAGCGCACTTTCAGTGACGCATTAGGTAAATCGCAAGACTGGTAAGGTTGAATGCTACTATTCAATATGCTGTTGGTTGAGACCATTCTCAAGAGAGTTCCGTCTCCGTTGCAGAGAATATCACTCACCCATCCCACAGAGAGTTAATTAATGGTCTCCTACCCTCGTTCTACTATAAGAGAAAATTTCATCTTTCTGAAAACATGAACTGAGCTGCTGTACGGAAAATCAGGGTGCCCCATTCAGTTTGTATACCCTCATGGATTTTTCTACATTCTTTTTAAAGTGTTGTTTCTTATTTTTTTGGGCACTGAGTGAAAACTGTTTTCTTGTTATACGTTTCATATATGCTAGAAGCAGAAAAAAGCATATACCTGAATAGCATTAATAAATGCTGAACGTAAGTTCAGCTTAAGTTCAGCCGAAGCTAAACTCTATTAGTGAAAGGGAAAGTTGATTAGATCTGTATCATCGTCTGCTTAAAGCTTGACCTTCTTAGCTGTCAGCTGTTGGAATAACGATAATGGTCCTCGCAGTAAAGAATTTCAAATCCAATATACAATTCATTGATGAGAGCACTCACTGAAGAAACCGCCTGAACACAAGTCTGTGGTGATTACCAGCTTTTTCTCAAAGCAATCAGCTAGCGATTGACGACGATTCATTTCCATCACTGATTTAAAATGACCACGAAGATTGCAAACACAAGTATCTAGAGGAAGTAAATTCATATCGGCGTCGGTATATTGATCTGGATAAATAAGAAAGATAAAGGAGCTCAGATTTGTAATATATTGATTGAAAGATGCGTAATCTCCGGAGGATTGAAGCTTAAAGTTGCCAGAGGCTTCCTGATGGAATCCTGGCTTTCAGTATGACTTCCGGATTTGAATTCTCAAAAAAGAATCCTCTTAAATAAATGTTCGTTGAACCTTGTCAGCTTTTTATAAAACCAAGTGTGACGCTTTTTAATCGTTACCCCTAAACGATATAAACGTTAGTACCGCATTCAAGTGACTCTACAAACTTTAATCAAACTATTATTATCATTGTTTAATAAACCTAAACAAAGATGGAGGGTGAGGTATCCAGATTTGTTGTTTTACCTCATTGGAACTCAGTTTCGTCTTAGCATTATCTCAATTGGTTTAGCCAAATTCTTCACTTTGTGCTGAGGTTCAGTTAGAGTACACATTTTCAAGCCACACGTCGATCCAGTGTCTGACGGTTTTCCAAAACTGCTCCATACCATTTTTACCGTTCTGTTGATATCACAGAGTCAGTTCTTCGTTGCAGAGGTGAACTGCTTAAATGCTCATGCATCTTATTAAGCCTGAGACCATGCACTCCAATAGGTCGTTGAGTCTTGCATTTGCTGAACATGACCTGAGCCTCCATCAGTTTTATTTTCAGTCCTGCTTCGATGAAGGTGTCATTGAGCACTTGGATTCACTTGTAAGGCTTTCCTGTGACCTTGGGAGAATGAGAACGTCATATATGCAAACAGCGGGTGGGTTAAGTAGTGTCCACTTATGCTGTATTTCTTATTTTCCCAACGGAATGTCTTGAAAACCTTTTCTGTGAATAACTGGTATGAATAACTTATGCTATATTGCACCCCCGTGTCAGACTCCCTTTTCAAGTTTGACCTCACTTGTGCATTCATGAAGCTTTACACTAGCAGTGGCATTCTTGCAAACCGTGGCGATGACCTGTCTGTGTCTTTTCTCAATTTTCTGGCTCCTAAAGGAATCCAGTACAAAGCGAATGTAGACTGAGTCAAAAGCCCTCTCGAAATCAGCGAACTTCTAGCAAATAGGAAGTTGTGAATTTGATATAGCATATTTGATGCTAAAACGATTAACCACTTGCCGAAAACAAAATGATTTTCAAAAAGGCAGTAGGTACATTTTGCATTGATTTGACTGCTTACCTGCATTTTCACCGATCGTTCACAGACGATAACGCTTCTTGTTCCTTAGCTACGGCTTCGTCGAGAATGAGGAAGAAGAGGGCAGCGAAGAAGCGTTCGAAACTGGTGCGTTTGTCGTCTGCACGAAGAAGCGTCGCATGCCGTGATAACGGGTTCTTCGGCTGAACTCCTCACAAAGCGGATATTATCAGACTGGCGCAAATCGATCCACCGTCCGGCGACTTATGCACGATGTGCGTGTTGGTTTGTTCCTCAATCGATGACGACGATCGAAAATTGTGGACCGACGCGTTGTCTGGCCGGTCGATAATTGAAATTTACTGGCAATCAGATTTTAGACTATTAGCGCAGAACGAGCCGTACTTGGAGCATTATTTTTTGTCCTCACTTCCAATCTTTGCTGAATCGACGTGTCCCCCTTCGGAGCTCGGACGGCAGCGTCGTCAAGTGCAGCTGATTGAAACCGAGGTAAACACAGTGCAGCTTCGGGCTTGAAGTTTCGACTTCAAACTGGTATTATGAGCATTTCTTGTGTCACATTTCCCTCGACTGCTCGGAAAATAGTTCACTTCCTCCTGTCTGCTCGAGGTGAGGAACGAAATAAGCAAAAGTATGAAACCGACTGTAGGCTGACGTTCATGTCAGTTCAGAAATGCTCGGAAAGTTCGATCCGATTC